AATAAATAAATAAATTAATTAATAAAAAAATAAAATGGAGCCACTAAGGGATGGACATTAGAAAGTACCTGATGTTAATACAGCAATAAAAATTGTTTTTTTTTCCAAAAAAAAAAAAAAAAAGAATCAGTTGTGTCTGTTGTGAAGCATCTGCCAGAGAAGACTGCTGGGACATGGGTTTCAGGCAATAGAAAGTCTATATTAGCCAGCAGGCAACTACCCTAGTTGTCCAGGATTCCAGTGTAGTATAGTGTCAGAGATTTTCTTCAGGACTGCTGGTCACCTCTGTCCCACCAGCTGGGTCCCAAATAACCACAAAGAGACTTAATGTTAATTATAAATGCTTAGCTGATATCTTAGGCTGGTTACTAACTAGCTTTGACAACTTAAACTAACCCATATTTTCATCCGTGTTCTACCACGTAACTTGGTACCTTATCTCAATATGGCATGTACATCTCCTGCTTCTTCTGCATCCCGCTCTCAACTCCTGAGACTTCTCCCTTCTTCTTCCCAGCATCCTTCTAGTCTGCCTCTCCCACCTAATCTATAGGCCAGTCAGCTCTTTATTAACCAATGAGAGCAATACATATTTGCAATGTAAAACATTGTTCCACATCAGCGTAGTACTGAGCCTTCCTCAGGATGAGCCCTTAAACACAAAACCATGGTCTGGGTTGATATACTTCACTTAACAAGAACAGTTAGTCAGAAGCAGAACTATGGAAGCAAAAAAAAAAAAAAAGCAAGCTTAGAATATTTAGAGATTCCCAGGACTATGGACTGTGATGAATTAGGTTTCTTGACACACACATTAGTCACTACAAAGCAAAACAAGTTTACAAACACAGCTTTGAGATAAAACGAAAACAGAATCCCTGAAGGAGTTCTAGCCAATGAGGGACAGCGATTAGAAATGCATCAGGTAATCGGTGCTGTAGAGGGAATGTAGCAGTGGGGGTCTGCAAAGGATGCTGATACTCCATTCCTTTCGGTGTGTTTGTTAGCATGAGAGGGCCTCAAGGGCATCATAGGGACTCATGATGGGAGGGAGAACATTGAATAGAAATAGCATCTCAATACCTGGAGACTGATCTGGACGTGATGAGGCCTTAAAGGGAAGGAAAAGACTTTCTCCAAAGTTTTGGAAGGGAAGAGCTTGAGAGAGAGTGAGAAAGAGAGAGAGAGAGAGAGCGCGCTGTTATGGGAACGATGGTGGTTAGGTGTGTAGAGGGTGCAGAGGAGGATCTTTAGGGATCAGCCTCAGGACCAGATCCCTCTGAGGAGTGGTGTAGGAGGTCCTTGTTTTTGTATTGCTTTCACTGGTTGAATAAAGAAACTGCCTTGGCCTTTTGATAGGGCAGCAATTAGGTAGGCGGAGTAGACAGAACTGAATTCTGGGAGGAAGAAAGCAGGGTCAGAGATTGCTGCCATGGAGCCAGCCGCCAGGTCAGACATGCTGAATCTTTCCCGGTAAGCCACGACCTCATGGTGAAATACAGATTATTAGAAATGGGTTAAATCAAGATGTGAGAGTTAGCCAATAAGAGGCTAGAGCTAATGACCAGGCAGTAATTTAATTAATATAATTTCCGTGTGGCTATTTTGGGGGTTAAGCTAGCCAGGGGGCAGGTCACCCCCCCTCCCAGAACAAAGGAAAGGTTTGACTTTTTATAATCTCTTAGAGCTAATGGGAACTTTCACATCCTGTGATTTAGTTGCACATAGCCTGCATGGTAAATAACACAAATGCTAGGTACCATAAACTAGAGCTGTCAATCACAGCACAGGCTGCTTCTAAATTTTCTGCTCCAGAGAAAACCTGCAGGGAGGTGTGGCCTGATTCAGGCTTTGGCATCTGATCTAAAGTTGCAGGCCGTGTCGTGTTCCAGCAGTGGCAATGTTTAAAGTGTGAGACAGTGTAATTGGTGCTCCCGTAGTGAAAGCCCGGCTGGAACATGGTGAGTGCTGCCTCTGTCATTTACTAGACATGTGACCTTAGATGACTGAGGCTCCATGGGCTTTGGTCTTTCTGCCCATGCATGGGTTCAATATCAGGCCTTATTCAGCACTGTTGGGAGAGTCCATGATTTATCACAATGCCTTCCCTGTTTTTCTAGGTGCATTCAGGAGGTGTCTCATAAATGCTTGCCATTATCAGCATTGTTACTTGCTATGTTGTTTGGTATCATCTGCATGCAATTAAAATTATTTTTGAGACAGGGGCTCTCTATGTAGCTCAGGCTAGTCTCAAAACCATCATTTTCCATTTTCTGCATTCTTTAAGTGCTGGGATTACAGGCTCACGTCACTCCCCCCCCAGGTAATCAGAATATGAATTTTCTGTTAGTTCATTGATTTTTAGATTCTGTTTGTTTTCTTGAGATGGGGGTCTTTTGTAGTCAAGGCTAGCCCCCAAACTCAATATTTAGCAGAGGATGACCCTGAATTTCTGACACTTCTGCCTCAACCACTCAAGTGCTAGGATTCCAGGTGCGCACCACCATGCCTGGGCTAGATGTCGTTAAAAATGCTTGTCTCATTTCAGCTTCTTTCTCTTTCAGGTCTTCAGCCCTGCCCCCAGTTACCTGTTCCTTATGTTCTCACAGAGAGGCTGCTCCTCTAAATATCTGTGTGGAGAAAGAATGCCAGAAGAGGTTAATGCTATGCTGAATATTTTATTTATAATTTTATGTAAACATAATTTGCTTTATAGGCACAATATAACAATATAACGAAAGCTCTGAAGCCACAGACACATTAGACAATGTTCGGCTCATTCTGATAAAGCTTGACCTTCCCAGAAGCCTTTGCAGCTCCCTTAAGGCAAACAGAGACACTCTTTACACTTCCTCCAGGAAACAATCACGAGAGGGGAAGGAAGGTGCATAACACAAGAGTCCACAGGATGACTGACTGATTCTGGTTGTCCCTCACCCACCCTCCTGTTCTTCAGGGTGATGCTGGTCATACTCAGGTTCTATGTTCTCAGTGGTGGAGAGGTTTTTCATGTGACTTTCTATGCTTCTCTGCTGTACAGGACAAGACTATCTGGATTCTGAATGTGGGTCAGGTTCCATGTTCCCCGAAGGAGAAGCCTCCTATGGCCAGTGACCAGAAAAGGCTATTTCTACCTGCTAGTAATAGCGCTATGAGAGTAGTCCTCAATCTACCCACCCCTGAGCCTGGTGATGGTAGAAATACCCCTGATTATCTGATATTTAGCAAGGACCATCTTCTCTCTGGATAGCCAAACGCTAGAGCGCTAGTCACTCCCTGGGGATAGAAAATAAAAGTCTGAGGTTGGTACTCTCGATATTCTCATCCCTTGCCCTATTGGCTGGTGGTACCTGTTCTCATCTTCACATGTGACTTGCACAGTCACACTGAGGAAAGACTCCATTCAGGTAAATAGTTGGTGGGAAGTCATTCATCACCACGGATTCAGGATGGAGAAAAAGGATCACAACGAATGATGTGAGACTGGTTACAGAGACTTTGCAAACCAAGCAGGGGGATTGTTGAAATGTGTTCGTACCCAGCCCATGGGGAAAAGAGTGGGGTCCACCCTAAAGCTTATTAGTGGAGAAGGTGGGCAACACAGAAACCCTCTTAAAGTCTTCAAGAACATAAAGAAACTTTATGAACACCAACTCAAGGTCATGGGGGAGCCCATTAGGTCTTCCAGAAGTCAAAATAAATTCAGGGTGCTAATTGCCTGGGTGCCTTTTATAACTAGCTTAGTTTATGAGTGACATATGAACTGTTAGGGCAGAAGGGCTAGAAGGAAGCAATTAGGAGCCCCACTGTGGAGGGAGGGAGCCTCCTTTTCCTTTCAGGTAACTGTTGTCACCTCAAAGTCCATCAAAAAGGACAAGGATGCTTCTTTCAGGCTGGAAAACTGAACAGGGCATTGTGATCAAGCAGTCTGGCTCCTGATATCTAAGGAGGCTGCAAGTCAGCACCATGGTTCCGTGTGTTGGAGAGAGGGTCACACACTCAGCATCAGATGGTAGGTAGCCACCAACTGTATCCCTAATGCTGGTTGCACAGTAGAATAAATACGCTCCAAGAAGGCAAAAGAAACCAATTGATTCCTCAACCTCCAACGTGGTCTTCAAGGGAGCCCTTCCTTGGGAAAGGTGTTTCTGGGACAGGAACTTAGAAATAACCATGGTGATTCTGAAGGTTGAAAGTGAGAACCCAGGTGAGTTTAATGACGTCTGAGTCAGGCCTATCCCTGTTGAGTGTTCTTTAGGATTTAACTAAACTGTGTGTGACCACAGAGAAGACTCTGCTCATGAGACATGGTTTCAGAGGAGAGGTCTCTGTAACTGGTCCTCAGATAGATGCTGTTGACCCATCTCTATCCTAGAAAGAAACCACGCCCGTCTCCCTGGTTTTATGAATAAGAACCAGGGAACAGGGTTCAAGGGAGGCTCAAACCTTAAGATGCAGAGGCCAATGCAGAGACATGGCCTCTTGGAGGGTGACAAAGTACTGCTTAGAGAAGTCTGCATTTGTAAGACCGTGGACGCTGCTCCTGGCCTACTCTCTTGCCACCAGCCAAACTGACAAGTGCCATAGTTGGAGGCATAGCTGATCGCTGGCAGACAAAGAGTGTCATTGGCCTGAAGAATAATGGGATCTGGACAGGGCACTGTGACAACAATGCCTTTCAATCAAACGTGGCCTTGCCCATGTCTGGTTTCAGACATCAGGCCCCGTGGTCTTGTGTTAATCCGCAAGGCTATTCTAGAACTGTGAAGAAGGACCCGAAGAAGGATGGGTTTGATACGAGGGAGAGGGGAGAGTGTGATACATAGACCAGGGAGGGGCACAATACTGCATGGGATGGGGTTGGCACTGAATTCCAAACACAACAGTGATCAACGGCTTCTTAGCTCGGCTGACTGCAGACAAACACGACACGCACTGGACTACAGCGTTTGTTCACTGGGGCGCAGGAGAGTTCTCATGGCGGCCCTTTTCTTGCCAGCCATCCTCTACGGTCTCGGACACGAGGTCTTACTGGATGAAGGGCATCCTTTCCTTGTTCTCGCTGTCACCTTCGTGGTCCTCTTCCTCCTCTCCTGCCTCGCTGGTCTCTGTGCTGTCATTGGCCATCTGCAATTCAACAGAGGTCACGATGGAGGTTGTGTACCTGCTCCCTCACCATCCCTGAGCATTGGACAAGGCACTGTGGGGTGAACCTGTTTCAGAGTGTTCATCCACATAGGAGAAAAGTGCCTCTGGGGACCCCTTCTATACCCTTTACTAACACCCACTAAAGCCCAGCTGCTTCCTTTAATGTCACTTGTTAGCTCTGGAAGTGATCTCACTGGATACATCTTGAATCTTATGATGCCCTAGATTCAGTTTGACTTCATGCTGTCTTCCATCCAGAAGGGCTGTGACATCTTCCCTACCACCAATGCTCCAAATACCCATTCTTTACTGTCTCTTTGTTCCTTTGGGTGTCAGGGTAAAACAATTTTCAGAAAGCAAGAGGGGCAGACCAGAGCTCATGGTCTGAATGGGGGCGTTATTTGGCCTTAATTTGATGAGTTCTGCCCCTTTGGTCAAGCAGATGTAACCCCAGTCCAAGGGCCATCAGAATCTCATGGGTTCATGGAAATAGACAGTGCCTCTAAATAGCTCTGCAGTGGGATAATGCTCTTGTACACTGTAGAGCTTTGTCACTCATATTGGTTTAATAAAATGCTGACTGGCCAATAGACAGGCAGGAAGTATAGGTGGGGTGACTAGGAGAGTTCTGGGAAGAGAAAGGGCTTTCTAGCTGACCTAGAAGAACCTGTCAATCTCTAGCTCATAAATGGGACTAAAGCTGGAGTAGGAAACAACTTTCCCAGGTTGCAAATTGACTGAGTACCAGGCTTTGGAGGCACACAGTCAGAGCATCTGTGCATCGAGGGCTACACCATATGCCACCCCTCCCCCAAAGCAGCCAGTTTTTTTTTTTTTTTTGTTTTTTGTTTTCGAGACAGGGTTTCTCTGTGTTTTTTTTTTCCAAACATTTATTTATTTATTATGTATACAATATTCTGTCTGTGTGTATGTCTGCAGGCCAGAAGAGGGCACCAGACCTCATTACAGATGGTTGTGAGCCACCATGTGGTTTCTGGGAATTGAACTCAGGACCTTTGGAAGAGCAGGCAATGCTCTTAACCACTGAGCCATCTCTCCAGCCCCTCTCTGTGGTTTTGGAGCCTGTCCTGGAACTAGCGCTTGTAGATCAGGCTGGTCTCGAACTCACAGAGATCTGCCTGCTTCTGCCTCCCAAGTGCTGTTATTAAAGGCATGCGCCACCACCACCTGGCTAAAGCAGCCAGTTTTGGAACTCTGACTTGCTGTCTTCTTGTGGATTGCCTGGATATTGGGGTTTTGTCCTAATAAACGGAAGTGAATTGAACAGGAGCAGCAGGAGCATCCGGAGGCAGCAGGCACCATTCTATTGGGTACATGTAGTGCAGTGTTTAGAATTAACTAGGAAGTCTTCCCATTGGTAGCAACGGTAAAAGGTCCTTTTCTATCCAGTCCAGCAATTTTCCTGTCTTTCTCCACTTCCATCTCAACCCGGGGCTAATCCCTCATTCTGAAATCATCTAATCACCCCTGCTTTTTGAGAGTTTGGCCACTACCTGTATTTCCTTCTTCATCAACTGTCTACACCTGATGATCCATTTGCCTTTGGGTTTGAGCCAGGTGGGTTCCTCTGCATTCCACTTACCAGCGGAGTCGGGGTCTTTTCCACATCCAGGATTAGCTTCCCGATGTTCCCTCGGTCGTGGATGCGCTGCATGGCCTCCTTGACCTGAGACAGACACAAGGTAAGACATAAGTGCTGATTAGTGAGACGTGACTCCTGGAAAAAGGGCCTGGAACAGTCAATCTGCCCGCCTTCCACCAGAGGTCGCTGCAGCTCAAAGAGTGGTTCAGACAGCAACTTTTTGTGGCGCAAATATATTCATTCGCCGTGCGTCAATCATACACTCTGACCTTCTCCTGCACGTCTTGTGGGTCCGAACAGTGAAGATTACAGTTTTCACGATGAGAATATATATACTAAAAGTCAGAGTGGTCAGACTGGATGTTAAGCAGTGACTTACTTACTTAGGTGTTACATAACCCGAGTTCATACTTTCGCCAAATAAACCAGTTACCAGGGCTAAACCGCATTTTCGAAATTCCCATGATTTCTAGTTGCCGGGATGAAACTGTTTGGCTGTACTACACCTCCCTGTTTGTTCGGAGCCTTCCCTTCCACGGCTGTGTAGAAAGTGAACTGCAGGAGGCACTGTGGGGGCTAAACAGAAATGCAACCTCTCTTGCCTCACAAAAGTCAATTTATAAAACTTTATAATAGGTTGAGTCTAAATATTTTTCATAAAGTCTCAGAATTTAAAATATTTTTGTTCCTTCGGCCCACAAATATTCAGTAAATGTTGCTTCAAAGCTAGATGCTATGACATTACAAAAAAGAAGAAGAAAAAGTCAGACATAGTTAACTGTGTGTGAGGAATTCGGCCTGTGGCTGATGGAGGACTGTTTGTTTATTTGAAAATCAAAGGCTTCTTCTATTCATTTGGATCCAAACTCACAGAACCATTAAAATGTTTGTGTTCAAATTGCTTTTCTGGGACTTCAGAGACGCAATTCAATTTATGGGAGAAAAACATAAAAGATAATGACTTCATTGCTTTTCGTGGCAAAAGCTTGTAACGGCTTATATGTCACAGTAAAGGGATGGGTAAATAAACAATGGCTCCCACATTCATCTAGCAAATGGGAACGTTGCAGAGCCGTTAAGGAACAGAAAGATATATGTCACTAATTATAAAGGAGACACAGCAGGATCAAATGCTTTTGTAATCTTGCTAAATGAGAAAACCGACAGGCGAACATTTATTTACATCTCTATAAAAGTGTAGATATTCTAAAATGCCTAGGAAGTTTTGCAGGTGTACCTTGGAAGCTAAGTGGAGGAGAGGAAGGCCTTTTAACAATGTTATGTGGTAATGTGCTGCTAAGTCAGTATTTAAAATAAATATAAAGCATCTTTCAAATGCACTTTGTTTGTTTTTGGTCACTTTGTGGTGAGAAATAATCTCTGTTTTGTAAACTGATAGTGTCACGTGACTGTTAATTTTTTTTTTTTTTTGATACCGCTAAACAAACCGGTGGATTCCTTCCATTTACGTGGGGACTTCTGAAGGATTTTCACACGTGGTCATAGCAACAGGTAGCACGATTGGCCCCTGGCATCTGTGTCAGGTTGATTCTTAGCTCTTCATGGATTGCAACATGTGTGGTTGCTCTTCTATAAAGTAGTGTGGTATGTGTCTGCATAGAATCTACATAATTTCCCCATAGACTTTCAGTCCTTTAAGACTCTAGGTCACTTTTAACACCAAAGACAACATGATGCTGTGTTGTTCTGCCATCTAGAGAATCACGACAGCAAATCAAAGCATGCATGTTCATGCAATGCCCTTCCCCCCCACAAGTATTTCCTCTTCAAGGTTTGCTGAACTGCTGATGTAGAATCTGTACATGAGGCAGGCCCACTGTGTTTACTGACAAGCTCTATGTGGCGACAGAGAATTGTTAGTGTAGCTCTCTGCTTCTCCTGGGAGTCATTTCCTTGTGTGATTGTCTCCCCTTGAGTGTAGGCTGCAGCTAGGGACTGGCTTTCCTACAGAGCACAGAAGATGGGATGGGCTCCCCCTTCTAAGATTAAGTAATAGAAGACCACATCTGTGTTGTCATGACTCTGGTGAGGCATGCTTCATTGCTTGAATACCCTATAGAGTCCCTACATGACAGAGACCTAAGAAAACACTCCATCCAACAGTCAGTAAGGGACTGAGACCCTTAGCTCCTCTTGCCAACTACCCCTAAATAATTTAGAAGTCGAGTCTTCTCCAGCCAAGTCTCGAAATGGGGTCATATCCTGGCTGACATCTTGATTGTAGCCTTGTGGGAGTCAAAGGACCCAGCTAAATCATACCCAGCTCCCAGTACCCTATTCTGAGCCTATGAAATCACCAATGCTTTAAAGTTCACGCCTTTTTTTTTTTGTGGAGGGGGTAAACGAGATAATAAATATTTAACAGACTCCTACCTTGAATATATAATGCTTAGCTTGCAAGATACATGGAGTGCTCAATTTTCAGGGAAAGTACCCAGAGGCTAAGGAGCATAAGCAATTCACTCATGGCTATGAGGAACAGAAGTGTGGTTCAGAATCAGGTCAGAAAGACTTCAAATCCAGCATTTCTCCTCCCTTGATCCTCAGAAGTAGAAAGTAGTAGTAGAAGTAGAAAAAGTGGTAACAACATCCCTCACAGTGCTCCTTTTGGGTATTAGGGACCCTGGGTACCTTCTGTATCCTAGTCAAGTGCTCTACTACTGAGCTAACACCCTTAGTCTCTTTTTATTATTATTATTTTTCGAGACAGGGTTTCTCCGTGTAACAGTCCTGGCTGTCCTGGAACTAGCTCTTGTAGACCAGGCTGGCCTCGAACTCACAGAGATCCACCCGCCTCTGCCTCCCAAGTACTGGATTAAAAGCGTGCACCACTACCACCTGGCCCACCCTTAGCCTCTTGATGGTGGATTCTTGGGCTAAGCACTTGAGCACTGCCCCAAGTCCCTCATTGTCAGATTCTAGGCAAGTGCTCTACCTCTGAGCTATGTCCCTGTTTCCTCACTGGTGAATTCTGACCAAGCACTTTACAACTGAGTCACATTGCCAGACCTTTCCTTATGGTTTCTAGCCAGACACTCTGCTGCTAAGCCAAACCCCTAGCCCTTCATGGCTATGGTAGTTTGAATGTAACTGGCCCCTGTGATCTCATAGGGAGTGGCACTATTAGGTGGTGTGGCTTTGTTGGAGTGGGCATGGCCTTGTTAGAGGAAGTGTGTCACTGTGGGGGCAGAGTTTGGGGTTTCCAGTGTCTCCGTTGACTTCCTGTTGATTGCAAGATGTTCTCAGCTGTTCTTCCAGCACCACATCTGCTTGCATGCTGCCATGCTCCCCACCATGGATGATAATGGGCTGAATCTCCGCAAGTGTAAGTGAGCCACCCAACTAAATGTTTTCCTTTGTAAGAGTCACCATGGTCATGGTGTCTCTTGACAGCAATAGAAACCCTGACTAATGTGGGAGCCAGCCATAATAAGCTAAGTATGGACATGCCACCCAAAGGAAGTTCTTTGCCAGAGTAGAACTCTACCTTTGATAAATTTGATAAGATGGCCGGCTCAGGTGACTTCTTGTTGAGACAATGCCTGGCTGCAGGAGGAAGCACAAGCTGAGATTATCCAACCCCCACCCAAGAACAAACCATTCAAAGGAAATGCCTGGCATTCCAACCATTGTAGGTAGGATCCCCTGCCAGCACACATTCACCAGGACACCCCTAGACAAATGTCAGCCAATCAGAGGTCCTGAACCTCAGAAACCCCTCACCCCCACCTTTACTACTATAAAAACCCAATTCTAATTGAACTCGAGGCTCTCAGTGGTTATTCCAATACGTTGGACACGCGGAGAGACCGAGTTTGCAAACTTGATGAAAATAAAGGCTCTTTGCTTTTACATATGGGATTCGGTTTCCTTGTTGGCTTTCAGGGGACTTCATGGATTTGGGCTTAACAACTAACACACTGGCAGATTCTAGGCGACTGTCCTAACACTGAGCCAGGTCCCCAGTCCCTCCATGGTGAATTCTAGGCAAGTATTCTACCACAGAGCTACACGCCAACTTTTCTTTTACTTTTTATTTTGAGACAGGATTTTACTAAGTTTCCCAGGGTGGGCTGGAACTCAGTCTAAAGTCCAAGTAGGCAATGAGCTTGTAATCTTCCTGCCTCAGCACCTGGAACAGCCAGGATGACAGGACACAGTTAGGTATACTTTAAGCTGCTTCTGTACTAAATTGGAGTCCAGGGAAATGCAAAGAGCTGTTTTCTCACAAGCTCAAGTGAGGCAAGTCCCCTGCCGGCTGCCTTTAATCTGCATATTTCTGGAAATTTCTCTCAGAAATGAAACATCGCCTTGAAGTCTTGTCTATGGAAAATGGATAAAGGACCAGAAGTAATCTCAAGAGTTTATTTAATTACCCAACCCCAGTCATGCTGTTTGACGCTCCATGCTCTGTTATGGTTGCTCCTGGAGCTGTGCAGGAGCCCCACTGGCAGAGGCTTAGAAGGAAGGAGACTACCACGTTTGATCAATTCTTCATCGGGCACAGTGAGGAGCATTTTGCACGCATGGTGCTATTTCATCCAATGCTGAGCTTCTTGAGGGAATATTTGCCCCAGCTTTTCGCTGATGAGAAACACAGGAGGAAGCATCTGAGAGATCCGCCTCTGGCTGTCAATCAAACCATGCGGGAGAAGGTAAGTGCCAGCTTCTCCCTCTAAGGATCTGGGAAAAACCCGTTACAGGGCTCTGCTGGCCACACCCCAAGATTGCCCTCCGCTGACACTTCTGCATGTTGCTCAGACTTTACTGCCAATGTATCAGCTTATAAAAGGTCCCCTAATAGGTGATGTTCTCCAGCTGTTTGAGAGCACATGGGAAGATTTGTCTCCTCCACATTTAAGACTTTTCCTCATGCCCCTTTCTGTTTGAAACTAACATGGCGTTGAAGAGAAGGGTCTTGTAGGCTTGCGTCGTCTAATCCAGGAGCCACAGATCACCTGTGACAACAGGACCTGCTCTTTCTTGAATGTGGTATTAACTGCCACCTACTGTCACCATGAAATATGTGCTGGATTCCAGAGATTTAGTAGTAGTTAGGAAGC